CAACAAAATTGGAAATTTTCAATCTGACCGAACAACCACAGGCACACCATACAAATACATATAGAGTGTGCTGCGTCATAAGGAACAGCTTAGAACTCGACATGCACAGCAGGAGATGAAAAATCGAAACAATTTCAGGGAAACAATGTCTTATTGTGCTCTAGCTCCACATTCCTAGCTGTGAGACCATAACCTGAGGCTCATTGAATGCTATTGCAGCAATCTGCTTACATAGAACACATATCTGAAAATAGCTAAAAAAAAAAAGATGTATTGGAAGCTGAAAAATAAATACAACTTGTTCCTTCTTGACTTATCATCAGATGATGTTTTATATTTGAAAAATCGAAGAAATTGAATATATAGTAATTCGCAGAGAGATCAGAAGACAAACCTCATATAAGATCCAATTTTATCGGCGTTAGTGGCGAGTGTGTTTTTAATTGCCGGCAACACATTAAAAACAATTTTTGCAACCAGCAATAAATTTAATTGGAAGCAAACGTCGACGCCCATTGCACACACACACACACACATAGTAGATTCATGGCTTGTCTCGGGCCTGGCAGCAATTTTCACACTTACCTACAAGGTGTCTGGCTGCAGCCTTGTGGAAGGCACATCCACGCCCCCGCACCACTTAAGCAAATGTCAAAATCAACCCTTGGCGGATTTTTATTGGCACCAAACACGCATCCATCCGCTCCTGCGAGTGGCAGCCCCCTTTTCGGGAGGGCTGGGGGTAGAGATATGTAATTGCATTGAGCACATAAATCAATTGAATTGCATTTTCATGCGACAAGTTTGGCCAACCCCCAATCGTTTGCAATTGCACTGCCCTTGGCTGGCAGTGAAAGCCAAAGTAGTTTTTCCTTAGAGCTGTCTTTCATCTTTTTCTGCACTGCCCCGCAATCTTCGCCACCCATCGGACAAACCCCTTCAACCGTAGCATAATCAATTGAAATTGCAGGCAATGCGTCACGGGCACGCCAAAGTCAGACCGGGACTAGTAATCCCCTTAACCCTCCACCCCACCTCACTCCACTCCACTCCACTCCACTGCACCACTTCACCCCCCACTATCATCCACGTCACTCACATTTTCCCCGCTTGTAGAGTCATTAGTTTAGCTTGTGGCTTTACCCGATGTCGCTCCTTGCTGAGTTTTCTTTCGCTTCCTCTATTTATGTTTGTATGTATGTGTGTGTGTGTGTGTGTGTGTGTGCATGTGCTTGGGTAAAAAGGTTATCAGAACTTCGTTTATTGCTTATCAAATTAAATGATTAATGTTGGGTTTTTTTTTTCCTTCTCCTTCCACATCAGACTTTGCTTATGCTTTTTCGAAAATGTCAGCAACAGTTTTTCAGAGTGCTGCTTCAGTTGTTGTTTTTGTATTGGTTTTGTGTGAATGCTTGTATTAAATTGTTGAACGTTTTATTGAGAAAGTTTTGCGGCGATATTGTGGGCTTACGCTCAGATGTCTGATAGTGGAGTTGGAAAAAGCCGAGAGCGCTCGGCATTCATTTGCCGCACCATATTGGAGTGTTAGCTGGAATTGGAAATTAAATTTCTTTGCTATTTGAGTTTTGGAGAGAACCAAGCTACTCAACATGTTTCTCAAAAGTTCCATACGCCATACATTAAAGCACAGCTAGCCAGAGATAAAGTAAGTTTTCATATTTATATCCGAGGTTTTCTCACTCTTTATATCCCATTGATGAGCCTAAAGAAATGAATCTATAAAACCCATTTTTACACTTCAGAATGCTCTTTAGCTATACCTGTCATTAATAAAACGCACCACAACGGACACCTTGAAAACATTATTAAATTTATAAAATGTGTACCGGGAAAAGGAATAAGGAGATAGTAATAGATTCACCAAGAGCAAAAAATTAGGGAAAGAAAAGCGTTCAAGTTATAAATTGAATTGACAGCCGGTTGGAGATGAAAAAAAAAAAACAGATTGGTTTTGTAATTCTCTAATTAGCTATTAAGAATTACGTTTTCTCCTCTTCTTACTATTTGTTTTTAGTTTGTGATCATTAATGGCTGTGATTTGGGGTTTGGCTGGTCAAAGGGACATTTAAATACGCCCAACGTGTTGGAGTCCTTAATAGAGATTATTGTTGATTTATTTTGGATGTTTTCCTGTCTTTTGAGTTGAAATTATTCTTTCCTTAAATAAAATAAAAATATTTTGAATTCGAATATCATTTTCCAAATGATGTAATAAAAGTATCCCCAAAATAAGCAATTCAATGCCATGAGCTTCTGCTTGTCAAACAAATTAAACGCTAGCTTTGAATTGTAATAGATCTTATAGCTTGCGCAACACTGATATGCACTTTACGCTCTTCGTAGTGTCGCGGAGCGTCGCATCATTTATGTGGATACATGATCCACAACATATCAATCTCAATCAATCACAGAACTACTGCCATAGAGCTGTATGGTGAAATGCATACAATGATCCAATAACTCATCAGCGCACAAATGGAGAAAGCGAGCGCCTGACAAACACAATTCATGTCCACAGATCTCTCTGTAGTCGGCACTCTGCAGTCGTTGTCACCACTTGGCGCCCACAATCCACAGAACGAGTGCTTTTGTTAATTAAACAAATGCCGCAGTGACGTCGTTGACATCAGTCAGAGAGCGGCTAAGGCCATAGATGCGGATGTGCGCTGTGGCAGGGCCACAGAAATTGCGTTTTCGGATGCCAAAGTGCAACGCAAAGCAAAGTTGTGGTTGCCCCCACTGGCGACTGGTGGCTGGCGACTGTTGACTGCACACACACACACACACACACACACACACACACTCACACTCACGCACATGCGCACGCACACACTCACGCCAACAATTTAAGCGCGAAGCAACAACAACAATGTAGATGCCTGTGAAAATGGGTGCACAAGCAATTTAATTTATTTCAATTGCTACTGAATTATTACAAGGAGGATGGGGGGAAAAGAGGCGGCGGAGGGGTGGATGGGGCGATGCACAAAATGCAATAATTGCTCATATTTTGTTGCTTTTTAATTGTTCATAAACAATTTTAAATTTGCGCTCAAAAAGAAAGTAAAGTTGCATGCGCGTCAATTTCAATTAAACAGACGCCGACTCCCAATGAATGTGAGTTCTGTTGTAAAATGTTTGTGGGGGGAGGGGGTTGGGGGATGGGGTACTAGGGGGAGTAAATGGCAGTTAATGGCCTGGCGCTAAAATTGCACATATTTGTTGTTGTTTTTTCGCCCGTTCTGCATCAAAATTTCAGCAGCGTGTGCGGGATGGGGAAGTAAGTAGCTGCTGATATCAATATGTGCCCCATGCGCCAACATAACGGACAGCCCTTGCCCCCCGCTGCTGGCTGCTGGCTGCTGTGCCCACAGAGATGGTGGCTGGGTGGTGGGGGCGTCGGTCCATTTGGACCCGTCGCCAACACGACGCTGATTTGACTCTTGCTTGTGCAACCGATGCTGTTTCGACGTCCAGCTCGCCATGGGTGGCGACGGCGTTCAGTTGCATTTTATTTAACGCTTTCAAGTGCCACTATTATTATTGTTGCTGCTGTTGTTGTTTGTTGCTATTGCTGTTGTTGTTGTTGTTGCTTGTTGCTTTTGGTTCAGTTTGCCGTTCAGTTTCAAGTGTAAATGAATTTATGAGGCGCACTGCAGCGTCGCGCCGCCCACTGTGAGGCAATGAGTGCTGACTGGACCCAGACCCAGACCCGTGCCACTGCCACTGCCCGTGGCCATTCGCCAATTTGTTGCGCCTGTGAAATGTCAGGCTAGGTGTGAAGTTTCACGAGGCACTCGGACACTGACCAAAAAATTACAAAACAGAGGTCCAAAGCTAGCCCACCACGGTTATCTCACGGTTCTTTTCAAGCTAAATTAAAAAATACTCACATGACAATATTAATAATACTTTAAAGGGATGGCTGACATTTTGCTTTCGCTTCATCTTAGTTTACGAGTTTATTTTCAAATTAAATATCACTTTCAAGACAAATCAGAAGCAACAAAATTAAAGGGCAAAGTATAGTCTAGTATTTAATAAATTAAATTGTAATTGCTTTTTTGCTCCAGTTCATTATTAAACATTATCAAATATTTAATTTACAGTTGACTTGGTGCTGAACCATAGAATACAAAACTAAAACTCTCAAGTTTGGTACAGAATTGTCCGATAAAAAAGAATATAAAGATAAAGTAATTCTAGTCGCTTCTAATCTTTAATACGATCTGCTAGAGCTGCAAAAAGAATTGATTTTTAATTGATTTGATCGATGATTAACCTTTTTGATACAAATCGACTTCTTTTTTTGTAGAATCAATTAATCGTATTCAAGAAAATTGACGCTGATAATGTATGATCTCACTGAAATAAACAAAGGAATTTAATTTTGTTCCTTTTAATGTTAATCAATTTTAATACAAGTATGTGGGAATCGGAAAGAACACTGAATATTTTGCTGCTCTAATACTCACACAGTAAGTTAACGAAAATAAATATTTTTATGACAATCATTCCTATGGCAGCTATATGTGCGAATACTAGATCTGTTAAAGATGTCTTGATTATTTCACCAATCGGTCCTATGGAAGTTATATTAGATATTAAGACTATAAACGTATAGACGAACGTGTCTATATCGCTTTGTCTCGTCATGATCTTATATACTTGTATGCACCTTTTCAGCTTTATAATATACCCTTTCTGGTCGGGATATAACAAGTGATTGTTTCCTATTAATTATGAAAGCATGAAGCTTTTTTAAAGCCCCAAACATGAAGATGGACAATCCTATTTTGGGTCAATTTCATGGACCTTTTATGTAGGATGCATATAAAAGGAATGTCTCAACGATTATCTTTAGAGTAAGTTACTGTGCTAATTAAATTAAAGTTTTGTTACAATGTGCAACAGTTAATGGGCTTGACAAAAATCATTTTTAAACAATCATGTGCACAAATAATGAATAAGTTACTCACCTTTCAATACGCCAACGACGAAAAGAGGGCCGAGCAGAGTCAGGCAGTGGAACATGCTGGCGCTTTTATTTCACAAAACTGTCGAGTAATGGAAGAAGTGTAAGTTTATGCTTGTTTTCTGGCGGCGAAGGCTGCAAAGAGAGGGGAACAAAGAACCATATGTTGGAGTTAAAACAAAGCTCAAATCGTGAATAAGAATGAAAACAAAAAAATAACTTTGTATACTAAAGGGGACACGCCCAGAGGCCCCCGGCCGTCTAGACAGCAGATAAAACTGTTAGCCCCCCGCACATGTCGTACGACACATGCAATTTGTCGCTTGTTTAGCGCTCCATAATAGAGACATTATGCCGGGCCCCTAAACAAGTGTAAAGCGGAAGCGTCACCTGTGCAGTCGACGCCCTCGCCGTCGCCCTCGCCATTGCCATCGCGACGTCGACGTCGCCGTCGACTCGTCGCTGCGCAGTCATCATTCAAATGTCATTCGCTCTTACAAATTGTTGTTTGACATGGCACGCCGCTAATCAAAACGGCGCTCACACACACACACACACACACAGACACAAACACAGACACACACACAGAGACATGTGGGCAAAGGTGTGCTTGCATGTGTGCTCTTAAGTACAGTAGAGCTTATATCAAACGAATTCTCGTTAAGGTTTCTAAAAGAGGTAGATTTTCAATTGGGTTTGTTACTTACTCTTAAAGAAGAAGCGTTCACAATTTTCAAATATTGAAACAATTTAAATAAAAAGAAAGAATCCTGTAAATAATTCTGCTTTATTTTTAAAGTGAATTAATCTTTGATTTAAAATGAATCGAAATTGTGGTCAGAACTTTAATTTCCTTTTAGTGGAATTTAATTTTAAAGTACCATTAATCTGAGGTAAAGAAATATAAATACATCTTTTTTCACTTTAATTATACTGTTATTTTAATAACTTAAACTAAACTTATAGCTAAAGGACAAGAAAATCCACTATAAATTGCGATTGTTTTTCCAGTAAATAGGTCTCTGATTTCAAATGAATTGAATTGTAGTCCGAACTTAATGTCCATTTAGTGGAATTTTATTTTAAAGTACCATCAGTCTGAGGTAATCAAATACAAATAGATTTTTTTTCAGTTTAATTATACTATTATACTTTAATTATACTATAGCTATAAATAGGGGGAACGCAATTTGTTAGTTATATATTTCAGTGCAACATTTTCACAATTTCCCCTTTTTGCATGCTTTCATATTAAAGCCTGCTTCCACACCTGAGAACAATTTTTGAGACATTTTATTACTTAAACTCCTAATCCTTCAGCTCCTATTCATCAAATGGTCTTATTTATTTATTTTTATGCATGTATTATTTTTTAAAGTGGTTTTTTCATAAAGAACATTTTTATTTTTATTAAATTTATGGATTCATTTTTTTTTTTCTAAAGAACGTTTTTGTTTTTCTTTGAATTAAGAGAACATAATAATGTCCAAGAGTTCGTAATATTGATGTCCGACTGCATTGGCAGAGTAATGTGCTACAATGTTCTGACTGAGATTGTTGCTACGGAGGCTTGTGGCAAATGTTTGCTGTTGCTGTGCGGCTCCGATGCGACACGATTGCCATCATCAACATCAATACCACAGGCGCCACAACTAGTGTTGTTGTTGCTGCTGTTGGTGTTGGTGAGACCGTGCCCAGATGGCCGGGCCCCCTGGCGAATTGCTCAGACGAGCGCACTAAAGTGCAATTAGCCGAATCAAGGTGAGGGCTGCGAATAGGAGGTGGGGGCGCTGCCACGCCTACACAATCAGCAGCTCAGAGACGTCCGCCTTTTAGGTTTAGCCAAAAATTTCATTAGTTTTCCAGCAATGATTGGCTCCATTGTGGCATTGTCAAGCCAGTCATTTGTTGAATTCGTCGCTCGCCTTCGCCTCTCCGCATTCAAATGTGCACTGCATTTTGCTTTATTCGAAAATCGTTCAATGATTGTCATCGTAGGTGTGACTAATTGTTGGTCATTTATCTTGTCCACTGCTTTCTTTCACTCTCCGCCTCCTCCTCCGCCTTCGTCTCCGTCTCCGTCCCGCTCAGCTTTGGCTAGCCTTATTGCTCGGAGCTCAGTGTTTGTTGGTCGGTTTGTCGAGTCGGGTTTCCATGGAACCCATGAATAATTTGTGTTCCATTTGGATTTTTAAATGTCCGCAGCGGGGCTGGGATGCAGCTGAAGGCTACTGTCAATGCGTCTACGATCGCTGACGGGGTTGGGGGTGTTTGTATAAATTAGTGGCATTGGCCTTATGTGTATAATTGATAGGCAATTGAATGGGCGGACACAGTTTTGACTTTGGTCCGAGCATTGGAAAGGAAATGTAATTTTGTAGATATGAGAGAAGGTGATAGGCAAGGTTGGACGTACATGTACATTTCAAATGGGGCTTTGAAATTGTCAATGAAATCGTTCCACGGGCAAACACATCCGCTCTTCATATGTTTTCTTTCTTGTCAATTAATATACTTTTTGCCCATCATTTAATTTCTGTTACATATTCAAACTAGAAATATAAGGGAACACTTTCCAAATAAAACTATAAATTCAAATATTGAAAACACGTAAATAAATGATTAAATATAATGCATTTTTAGCAAATGAGAATATCTAGAATTAAAGCCAATATCTCACTGCATACAATTATGGATAATAATTATTCGTATTGATATAATTCACCATTAAACAAATTCATTTCCTATTCAAGTTTGCTTTTCGTAATTTTAATATAATTTACAAAGACTGCCAACTTCTTGTAAAAAAATATTGTCTTCTATTTTTTTAAAGGGTGATGCCATTATCCAAGCAGTAAAGCGCAGGCACGGGCTTTCCTCCTCTTCTTCCACTCTGCAGCTTCTGCAGAAGCTTATAAGAAAAACAATGAATTGATAAATATTTACATTTCATTTAAACAAAAGTACAAAACTACGCAGTTCCAAATCAATCAAAGCACAATAATTTCAACATTTTATTTGCTGACAATCTTTTGAAAACAATATTTTAATAGAATATGGAATTTGCGGAAATATTCTCTTTATTTGTTCGTTGAGTGAACAGCATAAGGAATTTCTCACAAAACACTAAATTATTTTTCGGAATATTTCAAAATTGGTTCTCCAGAAAATAGAAAACAGCAAGCAATTATCAACCCATTTCGCTCTTGACAGCAGATTTGTGCTTAGAACATTTGTGTCATGTTATATTTCGGGCCATACATTTTTTGATTGACAAACGCTTTGATATCGTTCACATGGCAATCTGTGAGCGTGTGTGTGTGTGTGTGTGTGTGTGTGTGTGTGTGTGTAGATAGATACAGACACCAGCAAATATTATGGCAAATGACTATCAAAATTGTTCGCATGCAATATTTACTTGGCAATTTGTTGACGTTGGCCACACACGAGCCCATTTCGGGGCACACAAATGCCCAAATGACGTAAAACACACTCACACACACACACACACACACATGCACAGTGTAATTTATAGTAGTGTGTGTGTGGGGCACATTCTATTAGCCATGCTAAGATGCTCGCTGGCAGCGCTGACACAGTAAACAAGCCAAAACGCCTGCCAACAACTGCAACCCCAAGCAACGAATGCTATTATTGTTACCCCCGACTCGGCTTATTAGCAACAACACCAACAACTACAAGAAAATCGCGCTACCAACGTCACACAAGTCTCCTTTTTCAAACTAATTTCAAAGTAAATGTGATACATGTTTGTTGGGCTTCCAACCTAGTCAGTGGCCCGTGCCTTTGCCTTTACCTGTATGTCCTGTGTGTCCTGTGTGTCAGTGTGCATTTTTTTCTGCTTTCATTGTCCTTACTGTTGTTGTTGTTGTTGCCGTTGCTACTGCCGCTCGCGTGTGTCGCTAATTTACATAATTTCGTCGTTAAGTGGCGGAAAAATGTAATCGAATGAATAGATTGTGCCGAAGCGTCGGCTCCAAGGTGTTTTCTTTCCTATTTGTTTATTTGGTTTTTTTTCTTGCTTGCCTATTTTTACTGCTCAAAACTGTAATTAGAATGTTGCACATGGAAGCCCGTTTTGGCACACGCAGCTCCCTGCCGGCAACAACAACAACAACAGCAAAAACAACAAAGCCATTTAAAAACAAATAAAATACAATACACATTCATTTCCACCGCCTATAAGTATAATATAAATAGCTAGCTAGGCACAGAAAATTAGGCAAATAATATCATTTACTTAATGGGCCATGCCACAATGAGGCTTCGCAGACACCTAGCCATACGCACACACATGACCATCCACATCCACATTTACATCGACACCCACCCACAAGGGCACCCTGCATGGCAGGCGTAGACAAAAGGCAGCCATAGAAGTGCGGAGGTCGCTTTTGTGGACCTCTGGACATTGGCAGCTACGTATTTTTTTGCTCCCGTTCCCGACTGGGTGTTAATAAAAATGTGCTACCATAACAAAATCAAGTTACTTTTACTTTTTGGTTCACTGGTTTTGCAGTGCTTTGGTTTTGAGCTCGTCCCACAGTACCCGCAGTACGATGGGGACGGCGCCCCGATGAGGTGAAAGTTCGAAATGAACATTGGTTGCCATGGCCCTCTGTTGGAAATTGAAAAGTTATCAATTACTTGAAACAGGCGTTTCCTTTCGACATCTTCTTCTCCTCCTGTGGGTTGATTGTTTTCTGTGTTGACTGCCAGCCTTCGGCAAAAATTTCTTTTTGCCACAATCGAAAATTACTTGGGCACATATGCAAAAATTCCATTCTGGCCCAGACGACGACAGCTCGCATTACATTATTTTGACTTCAAGCGTGTCAGGTAATTGAATTTAGGTTCGAATTTCGCTCCTTTGATAACTGCCTGTGTCTGTCATTTGTAATTTAGATTAAACGTTCAGCGGCTAGGCAAACTAAAACATATTTTTTCAGTATTCAAGGCTACGAATTAAATGTGTGCTTCTCAAAATCGTACTCTACTAGAGACTGGAAACAACTTTCATCTCTGAAAGTAACGAAGATGAACTTAACATTTTAAGATGAAGTGATGAAATGGCTACACATTTCGATTCAAATATTCATAGCTCAGTGAAGCTA